AGCAGTGTAGAGTAGCGCTTGTTTGTCATTTCTCCGATCACAAATGCAGACATGGTTTTATGTTTACGTGGCGTATAAAGACAGTATAAGTCATTATAATCCGTAATTATGTGCCCACTGGATGCAACAAATGCTTCGTTTATAATGGGTTTTAATGTCTTTGTCTCGTCGCTCCAGCAAATACACAACATAATGTTCTTTTTAGCAACATCATATGACCCCTTTAAAGATTTATGTGAAAGCAGAAAACCTCTAGCTTGTCAGAGACTAAAAATATATGCGATAATTCCCTTTTGTTTCTATTGTGTTGGGGATCAATTTGACCCATGTTCAAAATTAGCTGCACAGACACGAAATATTACAAAAATGTGCTGTTTCTTTCTACCTGTAGTGACTAAGGTGAAAATAACAGCAAGTATAAACAGTATCTGACAATACTGACTTTTTATTATGTCTTCTCCTCAAAACCTTGTGAGGATAAAATAGCTTTCTCACACTTCTTTTCAGTGCTGAAATATATATAAAAAATCAACCAAAACATTCTGACAGTTTTTTTTGACGGTGAATTGCATAAAGAAACACATTTCATAAGTTCTGTAACAAAATTTGTTCAGCCTTTCCATCTATGCGTTGAAACTTTGCACATTCATTAGCCTAAATGAGAAACTTCTAGAAAAGTTCAAGTGTAAATAAACAGAAAACTGAGTGCGTCACATTGACCCCAATACAACAGGAAAGCACACTAAAGGCAAGGCTTTCTTTAAAAGTTCACAATCCAGAATCCATATATGACTGTAAAGAAACATGACTTTTCCTGGAATCAGACCAGGATCAGACAGAACAGGTCCGGAGCGGAGATTAAACATGTCAGATCCACACCCATACGGCCAGAAATATCACAGTGGAGATGCTCGTTATATATTTCCTAGACAGCATTGAAACTGAACGCATGAGATGTTTCTCCTATGAAGAAGACTCCAGAATCTCACGTGCATCTCTTCAAGAGCAAATGATCTGAAATACCCAACAGTTTCTTGCGTGGTCCTTAAAATAGGGTTCCCACGATTTAAAATAAACAAATAACAAAAATGTAATAACATAAAATCCTTTTTATTTTAAAGATAAAAACTCTCTGGAATTAAGAAACTTAAAAATGTTGTCATGCTGGAGAACATCACTGTCACTGCTTGAACTCGTCTCATCTCAGCATGCATTTGCAGTCCACAGATTATTGTCACTATGAATATTGGTCTGAAACATGCATACACTCTATTATCGTATTAACTCACCTGTGTGTTCAGTCAGGTCAGGTCTGGTGTGTGTCGTTCTGCATCCCACTGATGGTTTTAAACACTCCTCATACAGAGGCTGGTTTGCTGTGATTGGCTGCAGGAGCAGACAGACTCGTGTTCGGGGAGTTTGCTGCTGAACTGAAACTAGATCAGTGAATCTAATGATTCAAATTAACCTGAATTCCTTCATTCCCGCATCCTGGAATTCTCTTGATGCTCTTTCCTCTTTCTGTCCAACACTATTTGAACCATTCTTTTAACCCTATTAATTTCTTATGTCTCCACATGATCAAAACTTTGCTGTTTCACACAATCTACTGCATGTCTTCTGTCGTCTGATTGATAGTTCATACATTTTTAATAAGTAAAAGCTCTTTTAGTGTAATTGTACAAACGTCCAGCTTCAGCTGGTGCTTCACATGTCTTTGCCGTCAAATCTTGACGGATTTTTGTCAAGTATAACTGCAGTCATATTTCCAGATGAACACTTGCTGGACTGAAGCAGCTCAGCTTTACTTGATTCTCCATCAATCATTTTTTAGAAAAATCAGTGCGTCTCAAATCTGATCATCAGGATCTTCTGAGGAGCGTTTATTTCTTCATCTCTCAATCAGCATTGGATTGCGCTGCAATATAACAAAGAGTGAAAAATTTAAGGGGGTCTGAATACTTTCCGTACCCACTGTATATATTTATATATAATAAAATACAATATAAAAATATTTTATTAAACTAAAATAGAATAAAATAATAAAATACAATTTTAAATAATTCAAACGTAATTACAGAAATTATAAAAACAAACATATATAAAATATAATATAATCTAAAATGATATAAGAATGAAAATAATTCATATTTCTAATTATTACAAATAAAAAATAATGAAAGTTAATAACAATTTTATCATTATTATTCATTATCATTGTGCAATTTATGATGTTTTTACTGCACATTACACCTGTGTTTGTTTCTGTGTTTGAAACAGTCATGGTCTCATAAACGCAGCATAATTCAAGAAACTGAAGAATTGAGTGAATTCTATTTATTACTGCAGTTAACCCCCCAAAAACATATACATAAATACATTTATACAAAAAGCAAGCAAAAACGAACGAAGACGTTCCAGTTGTGTAGTGTGTTATGAAGCAGACTGTCTTACAGGAGAAAGTAGCATGTTTGTTGCCAAGGAAACCAGAGACTCC